CATAGACAATAATCCACTAAAAACATGATGAAGAACAAAGAGAAAACATAAAGAAAATGAAATTAGATAAATAAACATAAAGATAAAAGATAGATAAACATAATATAAAAGATAGAGGTGAAGAATTCTTCTCTAAAAGTGGCATGATGAGATGAAAATCCATCCAAAACATCAAAGGAGAGTTTGGATATAATCCAACTCTAGAGGGGAGAAAACTTCGGTTATTACATGCTAAAAATTGTATTTATAAAGGTCTAAAACGGAATCGGATCGACCTATCTTGATCCGGGTTGGGTCATGAAAGTTTGGTTCTCGGAACATCCATACTGAGGGTCAACCCTCGATTTCAACCCACAATATGTGATCTGCCAATTTGACTCCAAAAACTTCATTTTCCTTCTTCTAGCTATACCGAGGGTCGACCCTCAGTATCAAGCCACAATATGGAGGCTGTCATTTTCTCATTTCTTAATTTTTTGTCCATCAATTACACTCCTTTTTTTTACCAACTTGTACCACATCCATATCCTTTTGAATTCCCATCTTTTTGCATCCAATTAAGCTCCAAATCATTTCGTTCCAAGATTCACCATCTTCAAACCTATAAAAACATATAGAGATGCAAATGCCCCTAAAATGCCTAAATGATATGAAAATGCGGGATGAAAATGTGATTAAACCGTATCTAAATAAGGTAAAATATGAGAATATCACGTATCTTTCCCCAAATCGTTTATTTCTATGTCTTAGATTCGATTCAGCCACCGGCACCGTTCTCAGAAGCTCACTTCTAACACCGTCACCTACCAGCCTCTATGCTTGCATCACCGTCACCACCATCTACTAAACCAATCTCAACGCCCTTCAGGTTACATAATTCTTCTCAAACGAACGATCTTCCATATTTTCTACTGTCAATTTCACTTTCTCAATTATATAGATCGACCATTTCTTTCCTCTTCTTCACTCCACTTCTGGGTTCTCACCTTTCCTGCTCTGTCTTATAGCTTTGTCTTATATCAATTAGGAGGAGCAGACGAAGAAATCAGTACATAGCAAACACCCATAAATTGATTTCCCATCTCTCATAGTTGGGATTCTCCCCATCTTTTCACTCATTCTTAAGACAAGTAAGCTTCTGACAACTCTTTATTTTCTTAATAATTTTTACTTCATCAATATA